CCCCAACAACAAAAAACGTGCCTATGTTCTCCGGCGACTGCTGACGGTTCCCTCTTTCTGAACAGCGGCCTATCCATTACTTTGAGCAGAGTGGCTGAGCATTCTTCAGGAGAATTACGAACCTCACAGGTCGCTTCACTTAATATACTGTACATGGCGGTCGCACAGGATTGTTAACCCTTCGACTCACACACACAACCCATCTGCTACCCATGTTTGTTAGGTAAGTTATCTGATTCGTCATTCTAGCACCTAACCACCTCTCCCACTCAAAGGCATGGTAATCCTATTCGTTGTTTAGCTTCTTTTTTTTGTTTGCAAACCAGGGATCCTAATCCACCCACCTCCCCGCCCCAAAAAACTTGATATCACTTGTCCAAATGATTGCATTTAAGAAAGACAAAAGACAACAAAGGATTGACCACAGGGAAGGCATAGAGTCTGGGAGGCAAGCAACTGCATTGTAGTCGAAGGGTTGAACAGCTACCACGCTTCGTGATAAACAGAAAAAACCAAGGCAGGGGAATAACATGAAGGACCGTGTCATAACGGGGATGAGGAAAAAGGCCAAATTTACCATCTGCAAAGGGGTCGAGGCGCTCCGGCGAGATAATCATCTGCATGCGCCGAGTTTTGTACTCGTCCTCCCGGTCTGCAATCTTCTGTGGACGATGCTCCGCAAATGGATCATACTGTAAAAACAAAACGCAGCAGACATGACTATTTTTCATATTTGATAAAGCAAAAACGATGATATTGATCTACTAATATGATCAGACGTTCTATGATACATAGTAGAATCACTTAAGCTACATTATAGGTCAATTCCAATTTTTTTGCCCATACATGACATGTATCTGAATTTTTTTCATACAATATTAACAGTACAATTCCGATTTTCTTCTAACCTGATCCAGGCCCCTTTCGTATGTGGATCTGAACTTTTTATTTTTGGGGGGGGGGGGGGTACTCATTTCCAACAGAATTCAATTTGGACATCACCATTGAAATGAAAGTCTTATTTGTAACCTACAGAAATGCAGTAGTTGAGTCATGCTTATGGTAAACATTTGCAAGGCTGCACTATATTAGAAAAGCATGCTATATATGATATGGATGTTGTATATTGGAATACCAATATTATTGCGATATTTAACATGTACCTAAAGAAATTACATTTTTATTTTCAAATGAAGGAAAAACAATGTGGAAAAATAAGCAGGCTCAATGTATTCTTTTGCAATTCATTAATAACTCTCAGGTCAAACTGAATCATGCCTCTCGATGCTGTTCTCTAATTGGATGGCGATGCTCATGTAAGGTTGCATTTGATTGGTCAAAGTCCAATAAAAGCCTACAATTCCATATGAATTTATCCCAAGGCTCAATGATAGAGTGGTCGTCTCCAAAAACGGAGGTTGGGGGTGGTTAAATCCCACCCATTGCAACCATGTCAAAGTCTCTCTGACCAAGATACTGAAACCCCCAATCACTGATGATGCTTTCATGAGTGGCTAAATTAGGTAACAGTGTGAAGCACTCTGAGTACCAAAGATATAAAAGTGACAGCCTATTTACTTTGTGGTACACATATTTCATGTGCCATTATTGCAATGCCGATATCTTTTCAATATGATGTGCCACAGCCCTAAACGTTTGTATGAACAACACTTGTAGACCATAAATATAAAACAAATCAAATGAAAAACAGTAAGTATAACGGTAACTGACTATTTTTGTGCTAAGGTATTCTTACACGCTTTACAGTGTACATCATTAGTTATCACATACTTGTTCGTCTGACTGAGGAATGGCATTGAGAATGGCCACTGGAGCGTGGTACCCTTGCTTTTTCTGACCCAACAAACTCGTCGCAGTTTCCTCTTCATCATCCTGAAGGCGGAAATAACAATGGCATTAGCGTAAGCAGCTTAACAACCAAACAACGCAGCAAGTAGAAACATATTTGTGGATGTAAATATAATGAGGGGGGAAACATCTTACGTCTTCCTGTTCGTTGGCGGCGATGGATGTGACATAGCCAGCAAAACGACTGTCGCTTCCTCCGTAGATTTCTTGATCAAAAAACCCAGTTGAAACAAGCCCGACTCCCTGCTCATCTCCTTCCTCCACCAGATTGGCCTTCATCCCCTGGATCTCCAGGATCTGGGCCTCGATATCTACACAAAATAAATAAAATGCAGAATTGAAAATGTGTGCAGGACATTGTGGCACCAAATAGTAATTATGCTTTCGTCGCAGGATACGAACTGCATACAACGTGTTGCGGTAACTGTCGCACTGCTGCGTTAGCCTCGATGTTAGTATTAAACGCTTCAAAATAGCTTCTTTCAAGATCTTTTGTTTTCAACTACTTGGGCTGAACCAAAGGATTTGCTTCTTGAATGTCGACGGATCGACACTGTCAACAACAAACGCCGAATGATGTGGATGGTGTGAGGGCTAACATGCTAACAAGACAGCAACCAGCGCCATTATCTAAATCTGACCGCGTTGCGTCGCATCCCGGCCCATTGCTTTTGTCGTTTTATACAAATAAAACATGTGCATTTAAATGCTACAATTCAAGGATTACTCGATGCAAAACATTTGTCGTGATATAAAGCTGTTGGTTATCTGCAAAACTACGGCGAATAGATTATTTTTAAAAAACACTTTACCGTCGTGGGTTTTGGCGATCTTCGCCATTTTGGTGGTGGTGGTTGTTCGTTAGTGAAACAGGAAGTCGGTCACTATCAATCCGGTCGTGCTCCGACGAAAACTGTTTAGGAAAGGCGGGACATTCAGTACAATCCTTCGAGCTGGTTGGGCGATATGGCGACTTCTGCACGCCTACCAACCTTTAGTGCTGACCAATCACTGCAACGGATGGAAAGTCGTCACCGGCATGCGCCGTGCTTTGATCCTGTTACTGTATCTTTTTTTGCACTTTTCCTTTTTATTAAATGGTACAAACAGTGGAACAACACATAAATACAAAATCAAAACAGTGACAAGGAGCATGCCGCAGACCTCACATTGAATGGTCTTTTTTTTATTGAACAATTCAGCTGACAGAGTAGACAAGAATTATGACACATTCCAAAAACATGCATGGCAGGCTGATTTGATTGAACACTCTAAATTGTCCCTCGGTGCTAATGTGAGCGCGGATTGTTGTTCGTCTCTGTGTGCCCTGCGATTGGCTGGCAACTGGTTCAGGGTGTCCCTGCTTACTGCCTGAAGGCACCTGGGATAGGCTCCACCACCCGCCCCACAACCCTAGTAAGGATAAACCGGATCGGAAAATGGATGGATGGACTATGCATCCACCAATGCATAGTAGTACTATGCATTGGTAGTACTAAGCATTGGTTTGGTTAATTGACAGGAAGTAAATAGTACCGGTAAGTAAAAAAGGAAAAGAAAACAGTCATCACACAGCACAATTATATGTTCAAAGGAAAGGAGTAGGAAGAAGTTAAAAAACGTATACAGTCCTACCTCTTGTTATGTATTAATATATAAATCGATCATTTTTTTATATCAATCTGAAAAGGAAAAAGTTGCGCCATGAAGCGCAAGACTGCCACCTGGTGGCTGTGGCAGCGCACGTAACAGAGGTCGAAACACTGATTAAATACTGTATGTCACACACATTCATGAAAAATATTCCACAGACTGTTGAGCGTCAGCATATGCAGTACATGTGTGATAAAACGTGTTTATTGGCGACAGAAAGACAAACACCAAGAGAATGCTGAGTCTGAAACGCAAGCTGAGGCTTCAAGACTGCAGTGCGTTTCGTTTCATTTCTGCTTACCCTAAAGCGGAAATATGCACATCCCGCTATTTTAATGGAAAAATAAGTGACAATTATTGGACTGAAATGTAAGATAAATTAAAAGCACGGATCATATAACTAAAATTGAACATGATTTAATCAAATTTTAATTTACTTTTTTTAAAACCATTTACATGCAGAGAACGTCCAGTAGATAGTAGAGGGGCTCTGCCTCACTTGCTGCACCTGAATGCACGTCGCTGGTCCTCGCCTGATGTATTTTGGTATTTGGACGTGGACAATCCTTGACCTGTGACGTTAAATAGTTTCAAGATGACGATGGTCGCTGTCTGGTATATTATGACATGTTATCTTGCTGTCCCTTAAACTCAACTCAACTCAACTCAACTGTATTTATAGAGCACTTTCAAACAGCCATCGCTGCATACAAAGTGCTGTACATGGAGCAAATTAACATATACAACAAACAGTAAAGCAAATCGGTAATAAAAACAGTAG